GTATAAAGGACCGGTCGGGACTATTACGTCGTTGAAGGGTGGCACGAGGGTAGGTATAACCAGTAAATGTGCATTACCCTTTCGAGAGGAGACGTTAGGTCTCCAGGGTCCTATAAAACAATTGAGAAGAAACTTTACAACTCTATAACTGTCCAAACTTGGCCGCACTTACCAACAGACTAACTCACTAGGAAACGGAGTATCGGCAAAGGGGCAAAGGTATAATGCTACTTGGCCTAGTAGTACAATTCGATTATCAACGTAAAACAAGAGCATCGCTGATAGGAAGCCGATCGACAACCCAAGTACGCGCTGATGCTGGACGGGAAAATAGAAAAGAGTAATTTTACGTATAATTAAAAAAAAAAAATAATAATTACCCATGTACGCGTTGTTTTTTCATTACTAGGGAATTTCGTATAGGGATTTTTTTTCCAACAGGATATCTCCACGTACAACCCACGGAGACTCGAATATGCCGAATTCTCGCGGGTCAGGATGCGGGGAAAGTAACTCTGACTGGCGGACGAGAGGAACTAGACAGGAAACGGTTGCCGCTTGACTTTATTTCGAAAGACCGTTGACTTCGGATTGGTCGATCCATCTTGGTCTGGAATAAAGCGAAAAGAAAGAGAAAGATAAAAAGGGAGAAAAGGAGGTAAGGTGTACAGGTCGCAAGTGATCAGTGCTATTTCCCACGGGTGTCGAGCCCAAGTTTTTTTTGTCGAAAATGAAAAATCGATCTTTCCTCTCTCTCTCTCTCTCTCTCTCCCTCCCTCCCTTGTATCCTCCTTGCTCCGTTCCCAAAGTATTCTTCCAGATAAACGACCCGATAAGCAAACGGAACAACAAGCGAAACACTTAACTAAACAACGTGGCTCGCCGATATATCCTCATCCCATTCTGGTTGTACGCCTCTCGGCGTCCCGACGCCCGAGTGGTTCCTCACGAGCGACGTCTTTAACGAGGGAAGTAGTAACTGTTACCGGGAACTGCGGACATTTAGCTGCTGGTACTAGCAGCTGCCTTTATTCGCTTTTGTGCAAAATGTGTCGACAAGTGCCAAAGGGGGGGAGTTTGCCGAAATATATATATATATAATCGCATAGAAAAAATCTGTTAACTGCAAAGTATATTTAATGGGGTGGAAAGCTAAAGAGTATAGAAATTATCGTCAACCTGAAATGGGAAAAAAAAAATTACGAAGCACTTTTTATGGTTTCCATTAAATTTTTGTATTTGGGAATATATGGGAAACATTGTCGCCGGGTAAGATAAAGTATATGATTTATAATTTTGGTCTAATTAATTTCGCAGGATCTTTCGAGACCGTACGATATATTTATATCGTTTCTTCTGTAAAAGTTATCTTGAATTT